AATAAATACATAAAACTTCAACATTTCAACAACTGACTTGCAGCTGTTGCACCAAATTTTGTTTTATTTTTTTATGAGTTATAACAATTTGTATGCTTGCTAAAGACCATTAGCTGTGACCACCATCTGAATCGAATCGTCTACAAGGTTTATTCAGTTGTAGATTTTCATCAAACGATTACTCATAATTAATAGTTTGGAATTCTTCTGCTTAATTTGCAAACACCTGTGTGCAGCTCACGGCATTTTTAGCTAAAAACTGTCAAGTGAATGGGACAAATTGTGTGGCCCAACTCATTTAAAAACTTATACTGATGGATCACACCTGCTTTCACTTCTCTTCTAATAGCTGTCCTTTGGCATAGAAGAACTGCATTTACTGGTACTTTGCTGCAATATTTGGCTCCACACCATTTACAAGATGGGATTTGCCTGGTTGGTTGGTTGGTTGGTTGGTTGGTTGGTTGGTTGGTTAAACAATGGTTGGTTGGTTGGTTGGTTGGTTGGTTGGTTGGTTGGTTGGTTGGTTGGTTGGTTAAATAATGGTTGTTTGGTTGGTTCAATAATGGTTGGTTGGTTGGTTGGTTGTTTGGTTCAATAATGGTTGGTTGGTTAGTTGGTTCAGTAATGGTTGGTTGGTTGGTTGGTTGGTTAAATAATGGTTGGTTAAAGTTCTTCCAGACCCCGCCACACCTCGGGGGCAAGAGGTCACAAGGATTGGGAGAGCCTTCCCTAGCAGTAAATCCCTACACAATAATGTTGAGTTCTAATGAGAAAATAGTTAAATGTTGACCTATAATGTTTTTGAAAAGTTTAACGAATCTTGACGTTTATAAGTACATTCTGTTTTAAGATGACCTATGACACGAATAATTCAAGATGGAGTGTATGAGGTGCCATTTGTAAAGTTACACAGTCAAAAATTACCACCAATATTTTTGTTTTATTTAACCTTTTATAAGAAAATAAGAACAGATTTATTTTTTCAAAGTCAGTTTTTCACCATATGATTCATACATTTATAAATGTATGAATCACATGGTGAAAAACTGACTTTGAAAAATAAATATGTTCTTTTTTTCTTATAAAAGGTTAAATAAAACAAAAATATTGGTGGTAATTTTTGACTGTGTAACTTTACAAACTGCACCCCACAGGAGTGCACATCACACAGTAAGATAGGTAATTATGCAACTAGATTATCAACAAATAGCCTAAAAAAAAAGAATGTGCAGTGCATTTAAAAAAATCTGTGAAACAGAATAAATTTTCTTTCAAGGGATTTTGTTACTACAAATTTACAATCAAAAATTACTATGTAAAAATATAAACTAATACATCCTGAATTTATTCTAAAAACCAGAACAAAAAGTTAATGAAAATGATGTCTTATAGTAAATGGTCTGAATTTATATAGTGCTTTATCAAGTCCCTCCATTTCCAAAAGTGCTGTACACTACAAACATTCACACACTGATGATGGTAAGCTACATTGTAGCCACAGCTGCCCTGGGGCACACTGACAGAAGCGAGACCCTCTGACCACCATCAGCAGGCAAGGCGGGTGAAGTGTCTTGCCCAAGAAGACAGCTGGACCCGGGGTTCAAACCGGCGACCTTCCAGTTCCAGGACTACTCCCATAACCACTCCGCCACACCTCATAACATATGGCAATGTTTTCTTTTTCTAAATCATCTTGGAATAAACAAAATTGTCCAATTATTATTATTTTTTGTAATTCTTTATTTCTGAAACACTGAAAATATTACAACCAACAATGTTTACGTCGCCTCATGGTCACAGACCAGTCAGTAACCAGTGTCTCATTCCTCCATTGCCAACATTTTTAACTTATAAAAGAATATAAAAACAGAACAATGGGTAAACTTACACTTTACTCATGAACTTTAAATAAATAAAATAAAATAAATAAAAAATAGCCTTTTGGTTTTAGCTAGCATTTTACTCCTTTAGCCAGTGGTGGCTGGTGAACAGGGGGCGCTGGGGCGCCGCCCCACTACTACTCTTGGTACAAAAAAAAATTTAAATAACAAAATAAAATCACATAAGTGTTTCAAAAAAATATCATATATATGTTTTCTGATAAGTAAAATAAATAATTTAAAGTTACAAAAGGAAAAATAGTGATAGTGTAAAATAAAAATAAACATTGTCAGAAGACCAGTAAACTAATTATTAATGGAAAATTATCTGTTCGAATAAAACTTTTATTTATATTTTTATCCATTAATAAAATAAATGAAGTATGACAACCGCCTAGGGAAAAGAAATTAATAAAAAGGGGGAAAGACTGTTTATAATACTAAACTTAGCTTTGACGCGTCTATAACTACTGTAGAGAGAAATACATGATTGACAGTTCAACTTGAAAACACAATCTGAAGCCCCGCCCCCGCTCCGAGCCTGTGGATGAACTGACCAATAGCGTGCATCCTGGCGCGGGATCTTTTCCGACAGCCCCGCCCACTCCTAAATCCACCCGAGCGGAGGTTGTTTTCCTCTCGGGGAGACTCTCGCTGCCTGGTTGTTTATATGAAGCCACGCAGCTCTTACACGCTCCCTGCACATCCGTGACCATCGTGTCGCTTCTGATCGGAGGCTCGGCGGCTGACCCACACGGACAGGATTGTCAAGTTCTCATCTGCAAACTTGTACTTGTTGTTTGAAAGAGACGGGTGAGTTCATTCAGTGAGCTAATGGAGCTAGCTAGTTAGCTGCCTGTTAGCAGTCGCGTTGAGTGGACTATACGGGGGGTGCACATGCATCTGTAACAGAAGAAGTCAGACAGATCGGTTGTTTATTCATGAAATATAAGTTTTGAGTTTAGTTACACCAAAGCGCAGTGGTTCCCTGCTTGTGTTTCCCTCTCTCAGCCCTGAGCGGTGCTCCTCACCGTGTTGTTTACATTAGCCAGCAGCTAACTGGCGGCTCAGAGCCCCCCACGATTTAAAAAGTTCTCCGTAAAACCGTCAAATCAAACAGTGTAAAATGTTTTGTGATGTAGGGAGCTGAACACTTTCCCTGCTTACCTGTGGAAAAGGAGTGTTTGTTGTTTTGTGCCAAAGTTTGTCGCCATGCTGTAAATGGCGGGCAGCTGGGAGGCGTTCAGCTCGGTGCTTGTGTTGCTGGGCCGTGGAGCAGGGAGCTGCACGTCGCTGTGGGGACCAGTTCATGTTACAAAGCTGCTGCTGCTGCTGCAGCCTAGCTTTGTGCGGAGGTTCGGAACAACCGAGCATGTTTGGACCGCTCGGTACCGTGTGTCTGCGGCCTGGCTCTGCCTCTGTTTACAGCCCGGCCCGTCACATGAAGCTGGTTTGTGGAGGAAATTGTGAATGGCAGACACCGACTCGCACCTGTTTGTTGCGTCGGTGACGTCAGGCAGCTCGTGCTTTTTTATTGGCTGCGAGCTGCACGTTCACTACACTTTGATCTAACTCTAGTACTTTTATTGTATTTACTCATGACTATGTTACATATATACAGAGTTGTAAAGTAACTAAGTACAAATACTTCTTTACTGTACTTAAGTAGAATTGTTTGGGTATCTGTACTTTATTTGAGTAATTAGTTTTCAGCCTACTTTTTACTTCTACTTGTTACATTTTCACACAGTTATCTGTACTTTATACTTATTACATTTTTAAAAAAGATAAGAAGTAAAATGTTGTTACTCTTATTTCATTACAACTTCTTGTTAAAAAACATCCTCCTGGATAGAGTGAATTTAGTTGTGGTTGGATGAGAAGTATAAATATATACAGTATTATTCTGATCCTGTATTAGTTTGTACACAATCATCACAGCTGCAAATAACACAAATTATGTCACACTGCAGCAGAACATAGCAG